TACATATATATACATATACATATACATATACATATACATATACATATACATATACATATATATATACATACATATATACATACATATATATATACATACATATATATATACATACATATATATATACATACATATATATATACATACATATATATATACATACATATATATATACATATATATATATATATACATATACATATATATACATATACATATATATACATATACATATATATACATATATATACATACATATATATACATATATATACATATATATACGTATATATATGTATATATATGTATATATATATATATATATATATATATATATATATATATATATATATATATATATATATATATATATATATATATATAAGAAACGAACTAATATCGGCATGTAGGCACAGGAAAAAATTCCTGCTCTGTAGCCAGTAGTCAGATTACAAACATATATTTACGCTTTCCTAATGACGTCAAACATTTGTATATAACAGCTCAAGTTACCTATAGGTTATAACATCATGTAAATACGCGATATCACCATTCACCTGATAAGTGTGGCAAGCCTAGCTTGCCATACGAAACAAACTTGTTGTGAATAAATGTTTTAAACGAAGTAACTCAAGCTTGTCTTTTATTTGCTCTACTTTTGTATCGAGCACTCTATTCTTATGATTCGACACTCAATATACTTATTGACATTCGCCTATTTCGCTCCTTTATTGTTGAGCACTCTACGAATTAATATGGAACCTACCAACCTTGGATACTCAACTAAGAACATACCTATCGCGCAGCCAAAGGAATACTTGAAATGTTTGGTCGAGAAAACAGAATCATTCCTACGACGCGTCAGATGGAAAGCATACCATTTTTTAAAGCCAACACAATCTGAGCCTACCAAAGAAACATTCGGGTTTAATACAACTAAATCCCCACCGCCAACCAAAGAGCTAGAAGCATTTGAAGGCAAGATGCTTTCACTTATCCAGAACGTCCAATTTAAAAACCACCACGCCGAATTCCAGGACAAACTATCACAGGACTTGTCAAAACTTAGAGCAGACGAGAAACTACTTGTTGCTGCCGATAAAACCACAAATTTCTACCGTTTGGACGCCCCCACATATGACAAGTTAATTGATACTGCAATAACAAAAACCTACAAGAAAGCCCCGACAAAAACCACGGACAGAATAATATCTGATGAAAAGAAAATTACAAAAAGTCTT